GTTTTTTGCGCTCCTGATTTAGATAATATGAGTCTCAGTGACAAAGTACAATAGAATTCATCTGTTCAAAGAAAAAACTAGATAAGTGTCCAAATTGTTCATAAATCTTTTATAGGGAGAGTCCAACACTTTTCTTTAATTTATTACGGAAGCTTTTCTAACGTCTGCTAAATTCAAGATATACATTTTTTTTCGAAAACTTTTTTTTCTAGTTTTAGTTAGGTTGGGACACATATGTTAAAGCTAATTCATTGATGAACAAAATCTAATCAGAAGTAAAGCTTACTCCTTAATGCTAAAGAGAAAAAAAGTTTGTACTGAAACGGTGTCAAAATTGACTAAAACTTAATATTGGCACTTTCTCTTATTAAATATGAATAATTAAATAAAAATAAAGACACTAAAAGATGCGCCAAAAACTTTTTATTTTATTTTTAGCTTATTGGTTTCTTGAAATTTTAAAAATTCGGCAAGATCCTTTCTTAAAACTCATCTAACAGACTTTAATATCAATCTGTGATAGTATACTTCTAAATTTTTTGCATATGGATAGTCAGTCACAAATAGATGATAAAGAAGATATTAAACCTCTCCTGGGTGGATATATTCAATACACATAGTTCTTGATTACCGTTCTAGCAAAATAATTTCATAAATCGAATCAGTTTATGATATTGAGTAAAATAAAAATATTTCAATAGTGTAAAAGCTCGCCTTGTTTCCGAGAATGATGTGTCAACGTTAGGTTGAATACTAAAATATTTTATACATCTGCTATACTGTAAAGCGTCAACGTTTTCGCTAATATTATAGCAAATAAGAAACAGTAATGATCATAATAACATAAATCTTACGTGACTAATCATGCCGATTTATGTTGATGATTGTCGATCATGTAGAGAAAAAATTGTGAAAAAAGATGCGTATTTACGTGTAAGAAAAATATAAGTGTGTTCTTCTTGTGGTCTGTCACATTTATTTTCGTTTCTTCTATATTCCATGACTCAAAAAAGAATTTTCTTTTAAAGAAGAAAATCGAAAGAGAACGACCTTCTATACCAGTTATTGCCGCTATGTCTAGCTAGTGTACTGTTGGTCAAATGAAAACTTTTTTCTAAAGATCCTGACATTAAAACTGTGTGTTGTGCGGATAAAATTTATTCGATTCAACTGCGATTGTTATCCTTGCGATGAATTAATAACAAGTGCATTTAAATAAAAAGATTAAACATATGATGAATAATAAAACTTTATCAAAGTATAACACGGTTGCCTTATAATCGTCAACGAGGTATTCAATTGGAAGTCAACTAATTTATCCAGAAATGTAAATGTGCAATCTAAAAATTTTAGACTAAAAAGATCCTATAAGGAAGTATGCCAATTTGTGCTAAAATAATTTTTGACATGTGATGTCCTCATGGTTGTTTTCAATCTAAGTGTGTGTCCTTCAACTCAAATTAACACTGTTGAGGTTGCGCCTTTCTCGATAGTCATTCAATGCAAAAACTATTTGTGATCCAATTCGAATAGTTAAATGTTTTCAGAATAATTCTCAACGATATAGATGACATTGAAGCTTCACGGACAAATGAGATGTTAGACTAGAATCATTATTTGGACATAGTACCGCAGCCTCAATAATGGAATCTGAGTATTTTCGTGAAATCACTAACACCATATATGGGACTTTGTATAAGCAGGTGGAAACCTTTTTCAGCAAGACACCCATAAGTGGTAGTCATAAACATCGCAAATATTCACCGTTCAATAGACGCAGTTTCATGCAAAGACCCGCTAGTATTTGAAACTAAGTCTCCTAAACGCAAAAATTTCAGAAATTCTGAACTGAAATCCTTTATGCTGGCGATGTATCAATATTTATCGGACCCATCTGTGAATGTCTCGACGAGAAAAGCTTTGGCTTATATGCACAAAGCCAATGTATATTTTACTCAAAAAGGTAAATGTAACCTATTGCATATAATATTTCAGTTCACTGCTACAGTTTGATACATGAACACAAGGGAAAAAGTTGATGTTATCTTGCAGTAGAACGTAAACATCCATTACACATTATGTACGTGTGACGAAATTATATTTAAAACATGGTCTTCGTTTTCTTGGGTTTACCAAAATATTCGATTTAGTCGGGCGCTCTCCAAGCTTCTCTATAAACTAAAACCGAAAACAGTGTCTTATCGAATGTTGAAATGGTTTCAATCGTATCTTAGCGATAGGGCTATGATCACTTTACTGGACGGTAAAATCTCGCTCTCGAAAATTAAATAGAGGTGTCAAAACATTCTCTGACGATCAAGGCCCTTGATCCTAGACGCACAGCAACTCCGGACGTTGCTTTGCGTGATGTGACATATCGCAAGCATTTATGAGTTTAATTCACTTACAGTATAGAAAAATACAACCATAATAAAGGAAGGACGACGAATGTATGATAACAGTTTGAAGGTTTCGGGACTTGTAGTTTTTGTGTTGTGCAGATAAAATTTATTCGATTCAACTGCGATTGTTATCCTTGCGATGAATTAATAACAAGTGCATTTAAATAAAAAGAAACACATTATCTTTGAAACCTTATCAACAATATTATCACAACAAACAACGACATCCAGACTAATCTCTCAGTGATAATACCAAAAAGTCTGTTTTCTATTTAGGAGGGGTTGTCCTCCCCCAAATACGCCTCAAATTTGGCCAGTTTGTAGATAATACCTTCGGTGGTATGGCTATGAAATAAAAAAACTCGTTTGTCAAGTATTGACAGAGTTATTAATTAATTAAATTCAAAATTAATTGAAATTTTTAGTTGGAGAGGCATCTTTTAAAACCTTTCTAGTTTTCGATATAAATGTTACATTCAATTGATTATAATGTAGTTTTATAGAGAATTGTTTGCAGATATAATTTCATACAAAAAAGTTTAAAAACGATAACTCTGACCCTGTTTTTGATTACTAATTAGTTCTGGTTAGCACTAATCAGTGGCACTCCAGTGGACAAAGTAAATTTTTCTAATGAGTTTTGAAGACATCTGATATAAAATAAGTGAACCAGAAAATTTCTCAACAGAACACTTTCATACGTAGATAGCATGATATTGTTACTTTCGGACGAAGCATGAGCATTAACATCATTTAATAGAAGAATATGATCGTGTTTTTCATCCTTTTTTATCAAGAAGAAGTGCTCTCGATGACTGCAAGAGCTAGAAATATCTATCATACACAAGACTAGGTTACGATCGATAGGATGATACAGAAACGTTTAGGTACTATTTCAGACGAAGTTGAATAAAACAAGCTACAAATGTTCCTCAGTATAAATAGTTTTTCAATCGCATCAGTACTGTTTGTATTACAGAATAGTCGTGTACATGGCAGGGACTGTTATGAACTCAGACGTCCACGGGCGCCCATGGATGCAACTGCTCCGTCCAGGGATGGAAAATAGGTGTCCATAGCAGTCGCCATAACCGATATAGACTGTCTTTTTTTAAAAATTCATGATGAATCAACATTTATGAGTGCAGAAGTGTCTGCCAGGGGATGGATTGTGAATGTTAATGTACCTTTTCTTAGTAAAGGAAGAGGAAGAAGTTCTACGATATCGGAATTTTTAGTTCAACATATATCTTCATATCTCTTTCTTTTGAGTGATCAAAAGTGGACTGGAAAATAAAAGGACTAAAAAACACAAAGTTAAACTAGGCAACTGCTATGGATTGGACGTCCAAGGGCACCCATGAATCTAAAAATTTTTGAGAGGATCGTCTACGGGTACCCATGGACGGAAAATTTATGTCCAGAACAGTCCCTGGTACATGGTAAACAGAAGAATAGAAAAATAAATGATAAATTTTTAAGTAAGCAAAGAAAAGTGAAAATAAAACAGAAAATATTTCATGAGAGTATATATGAAGATCACGTATATATAAAGCAGAGATGGGCAAGTCAAGTCAGAAATGACTTAAGTCAAAGTCAAGTCATTTTTGACTTGTTTGACTTGACTTGAAAATTTTTTTAGTGACTTGCGACTTGACTTTGACTTGTCAAAGAAAACTTTTTTTGTGACTCATGGCTTGATGTGACTTGACTTTGATTTTTCATTTTTTGACTCGACTTGACTTGTGACTTGACAAAAAAATATAAGTCAAGTCAGATATTCTTTGGAACTTCAATGCATATTAGATTCTCGTCAAGTTATATTTGACCTGTGTGTATAAAATAAGGTCCCAAACAGACTAGACGAATAAACAATGAATTAAGAATTCTTTAATTCATTGTTTATTCGTCTGGTCTGTTTTGTACTAAAAAATGAAACTATCTCGCATCGACATTCGCGCGTATATAAGCAATTATACGACTGAGTGTGCATCAAACGTGATCTATTGTATTAAACGGGTTAGATCAATTACAACTTGTATTACAATTGAATATGAGTGATTTAATTTCACAAATTGATATTGACCTGTCACATGATTCTCCAGATGTACATACATACATAACTAAACTATAAAATTAAAAAAAAATTCAAGTCAATGACTTGAGACTTGACTTGACTTGCAATGGTGTATCTTAAATTGATGACTTAACTCGACTTGACTTGAAAATATTTTTTTTTCGAGAACGACTTGACTTGAGTAAAAAAATAGCTGACTTGCCCATCTCTGATATAAAGTAAGACACACAATTAATTAAGAAAAGTAGCAGTGTTTGCCTTACCATTCTGAAACACTAGTGGAGAATAAAAAACATTGCTAATATCATGAATAAACTCGTCTTGAATATATTCACTTGAATAGTAAAATTTACAATTTTAGTTTCCTAAATGTTGTAAAATATCAGTAGAATCTTGAATACATTAATTTCTTGAGATTGTATTTTATCTGGAATAATATAAGGATAATATTTTTTCTATTCTTTATTGTTGTTTATATAACCACTGTTATTGTTGTTAATTAGATTAGTAGGTAATGTGGACTATTGTTGAAGTTGCAATCGTCGGTCAGTTTCTACTCGTATCATATGACGTTGAACATGATGAGGTAGTGCAGGATTTAAACTGAGGGCATACGGAAGAATTATCTTCGATATATCACCAAAATCAACTAAACATTTAATATACATAGTATCGTCCTTGATATAGTTAGTATCCTCTTGTAAAATCATCGGTAACGGAAAAAATTTTGGAATTCCCGAGGCAATATTCATTTCGCTTCTAGGTCGTTGAAAACTGTTTGATGTTGTATCGGGTCTGAACGAATCAATAATATGTCGTTGTTGTCCAGATTGATCATAGAGACAAAATGTCACTTTAAAACTAAAAGGCCAGTTCAAAATCGCATCGAATGGACCGCGCATTATAAGAAAAAAAAGAGACATATGCGTCCTACGAGCATTTCCATCTCCTTGTAAATAAAGGCGAATACACATCTTGTACCCAGTTGGAGACGAGTAAAATGCTGGTGAATAAATGGATGTTTGTCGTTCCGATTGTGCATCAGTTATTTTCTCTGAAATATTAGAAATTTTCCATGTAAAAGTTCCATCGTAGCTGATACATTGTAAATCTTCCACTTTTTGTTTTACACTGTCTAATTCTTGTTGTAATATTTCCTGATTCGGTCCAATACCCGCAATATATGAGTCTATTTCAACTTTTGATTGTTTAATTAAATTTATTTCGTTTTGACATGCTTGTAATAAATTTTGTTGACGTAACGATTCAGTACTCAAACGAATTGAATCTTCGTTTAAAGGTTGAAAATTTTTTGTTACTGTTGTCAATGTCTCGTACAGTTGTTGAAGTTGAGAGTAAAAATAGTTTATGACTGAATTTGTCGATAGGGAAGTAGTGTCCGCAGTTGACATTAATGATATTAGATTAAACGGGTCAGAAGTACTATTCATCACAGCCATATCAGTTCCATTATAACGGGATTGAATTAGTTGTATGATTTTCACAAGAACAGATTGTAAACATGTTTGATGTAGTTCAGTTAAATAGTGTGCACAAAGATCAGATCGTAGAAACTAGATAAACGAGCAAACATTTTCTCAAATTCGAAATCATTTCTACTCGTATGCAACTGAACGGTACTTGTTTACAAAGCAGATCAATTTCTATTCACATAGCTGAATTCGTAGTCGAATTAGAGTATTTATTTCTACTTAGTTCCATTCAGCAATGCCATAATTCCTACATTTCAGACATTCTACAGAATTCTACATTTTCCCTATGAATTTTACGACAACTATTTCACAGCTAAAACCTGATATGTCCAAGGTGTTCTCAAAATCGAAACCTAGAAAATGTACAGAATTCTATAAAATTCTACCTTAGTACGCACATAAAACATATTAGTCAAGTGGCAGACAAGCGGAAATGTATAGAATTCTCCAGAATTCTACCTTAGCATATATATACTTTTTTATTGAAGTTTGAGTCAAGCGGAAATGTATAGAATTCTACGCTAGTACAAGATATATTTATTATTGACCAAGTTTGGTTCAAGCGGAAGTGTATAGAATTCCATAGAATTCTACCTTGGTACACATATACAGGATAGCGTGCAGAGCATGAAAGTGAGTCACTAATCAACTATATCTGTACTAACGCAGAATTCTATAGAATTCTATATGTTTACGCTTGACTCAAACTCAATCAATAATAAATATATCTGTACTAACCTCGATTTTCTATAGAATTCTATACATTTCTGCTTGATGCAAACTTGGTCAATAAAAGGTACATGTCTGCTAACGTAGAATTCTATAGAACTCTGTACATTTCCGCTTGACTCAGACTTGGTCAATAGTAAATATATCTGTACTATCGTGGAATTCTATAAAATTCCGTAGAATAGCTGAATATCAGGAACTCTGACATCCCTCTTTTTTTTAAATGATAGTTTTTATTTTTTGTTGTTATCCCATTTGTCTATGTTGCGTTTCAACAGATAGCCAGGTACAATGCTTTGCGATTCCTAAGATCTGTGATGCGTATTTCAGCATATTAAACTAAACTTAAACTGATTAAATAGTCTTTAATTGCTGCGCCTATTTTCAAAAATTTAACTATTTAATGAAAACTTATTATATAAACGTGATTCTAGTGTGCTTTGATCGGGAATCATTTTTAGTTATGATCGCATTTAAGATCTGTCAGAAAAAGCTATGCTGAGATACAGATTAATTAATTAATCCTAATTAACATTGATTATGGACAGTTCAGCGATTTACATTTTTATTTGCAAGTCAACAGGTTTTTGAACATAATCACACGTTACATCATTTGAATTAGCTTTTCAAGCGCTGTAAAACTGAATTTTGTTTCAAAATGGTACCACTTTCTTGAGAAATGACCTTCGCCTTTGGCGATGAAGATGAGAAAGAAAACTACCGATGAGATTTACAGATGATTAATGAGAATTTAAAAATTGAATTAAAATCTGGCAAAAAAAAATTCGAAATCATTTCTATTTGTATGCAACTGAACGGTACTTGTTTACAAAGCAGATCAATTTCTATTCACATAGCTGAATTCGTAGTTGAATTAGAGTGTTTATTTCTACTTACTCTTTCTTTTGAACAACCATGTTCGGCTAATTGACATAATATCATTATTTTTGTACACAAACTTTTTTGATGGTCATCTAACTCATCTTTGCTTGAGAAGTTGTCGTTGCAATGTTTACAATTATGAATTGTTGTATGCTTGTTATCCAGATGATCCTGAAACAATATTAGAAAGAGATGCAAAATTCAATAACAATGTTACACCTTTTTTAAATACCTGATAGTATTTTAAAGTCCCATCCCAATCGCATCCATTATCTTTCTCTTTACAGATAACGATTAAATCCAACAGTTCCCTCTGAAACCCTCTGTCAAGCATTATCTAAATGAAACAATAGATATATTTCAAGTTTTGATTTTAAAGACGGTTCTTGCAACGACGTTTCTACCATGAGATCGAGGATAGACCGTGATCCTTCTCTTAGAAAATTATTTCATACTCTTTTGGACGTAGAAATTTTTTAAATCATAGGATATGAACAGTGTAATTGAAGAGAATTAATGATAATTTAGTTGTGTTAGTATGGGGTGCTTTACATTTTTTAACTTTTTGTTTCTTCTTTTCCTTGAAAAATATCAGATTGAGTGATATGTCAAAGAACGTCACTCTCGCTCACTTCTCTGCTGTCCCATTGCGATACAAGTAAAAGAAATGAATTTCGTTTCAAAAACGTGCCACTTTCTTCAGAAATGACCCTCGCCTTTGGTGATGAAGATGAGAAAGAAAACTACCGATGAGATTTACAGATGATTAATGAGAATTTAAAAATTGAATTAAAATCTGGTATATAAGGAGCAGAAAATATAACAGAAAATATTTCATGAGAGTATACATGAAGATCACGTATATATAAAGCAGAGATGGGCAAGTCAAGTCAAAAATGACTTAAGTCAAAGTCAAGTCATTTTTGACTTGTTTGACTTGACTTGAAAATATGACTTGCGACTTGACTTTGATTTGTCAAAGAAAACTTTTTTTGTGACTCATGACTTGACGTGACTTGACTAACTAAATTTTTTTTTTAATTTAATTTATATATAATTAACTAACTATATATATAATTAACTTAATATAATTTAAATTTAATTAACTAAATTTTGTAAGACTAAAAGTCACTGAAGAAATGAAAACAAATTCTAGTCCTCTCTCTTTTGATTAATCCTGAATATGTGGATAGCTTCTAGTTAACAGCATACCTCATCATTTGGTGTCTTCTTAAAACATATGGGACATGTCGTTCTAAAATCAGACAATGTAAACAATACCTTTGATGTTTAACAAGCGTTATGCAATTGATTAAGAAAATTGATAAAAGATACATTTTTATTTCGCTTACTCAACTTCCAAAACAACGCTTTCTTTACATATTCGATGACCGCAATTTGTCAGTTGAACTGGTGATCTCAGGATTAGTTCGCATATCGGACAAATATATTTTTCATCAATACTGTTCTTGTTATACGTCTTAAAACCACACTAAAAACCAAATATTAAGAGATAGAACTTAAGTAAACAATGACCCAAGTCAATTTCTCCGCTGCAGTCACGCTGAGACAAAATCATGTCCCGCGATTGCGATAAAACTCGTAACTCTTGGTCCAGCCGCTATCCTTAGAGTGATTTCTGGAAAAAGCAATGAGTAAAATTTCTGGTGTTTCTTTCGTCCTTTTATATAAGTTAGGCTGCAAAACAAAACGATGCAAGTGTTTTGGATCGCGACTCATGCTGCGACTACAGATTTAGTCTCGTTTCCCGGCGTGATTTTGATAGTTCAGCTGCTTTGGAATATTACATAGCGACTCCTCGTAAAACTATAAAACTCGTTTATGATCCTAGCGCGATAATAACTCGTAGTGGAAGTCACGGATAATGTTTTTTGAAAAAGTGAAAAATTTAGCCGAGATAGCACCACGACAAAGTGAGTCATTCGTGATCATGGTGCGACAAGCGTGAACCTATAGCGCCTACGGGCGCGACAGCGAGAGCACATCGCGGGTGAAGCATAACAATTGACCTGCGGAGATTCTGTTATAATTACTTTTCGATGATGAGGTCCATCTTTTTCGAATTCAGGTTTAGGCCGTGGAATATACGCATCATCTAAAAATATAAATAGAAAAAGTAGAGAATTATGCTTCAAGTGGTTGCTTAAATCGTACAACCGGTTTCTTGGCAGATATCACCTCGGTACTTCTAGTTATAGATGCAATGAGAACATCCTATTCCAGTAACCATTGGACGGAAGAGATGAGAATTGAAGTTTTAAAAAAATGAATGTTTTCGGCTTACCATGACTGAACTGAATATGTTGACGAAGCCTTTCCACGTTGTCCTTCAGTCTTATGAAACAAATTAATAGAGCGGCCCTATCTAGTGAATTATTAGGTAATTGTTCATTAATATTCGTGGCCACACAACTGAAAGCAACGCTTATCAATGTTTGTTGTTCACACTCTGATATATTAACTTTACGTAACCGATCATCATTACCAAATAGATTAAATAACTTTGTGCCCTGCAGTTGTGTATTAATCCAAATCTTAGAAACGTTTTTTAGTTCAAGTAACTTTTGAATAAACTCGTTTTGATTAATATTCAATTGAATAGAAATAAGTAAGACTATTTCGATACAAGAATCCGTGGATAATGCGAGTGAATAACACGATTTGATATCATTAGAACACTTCAAATACAAATCAAGTTTTGAGGTATCAATATTACCAACATAAAACACTGACTTGACGCGCATAATTCTCACCCTTTAAAATAACAACCTTTCAATAACAGGTAGAGTTTGATCAAAAAATCTAAACACAGCAAAACTTTATTAGTACCGATGAAAACTTCTTAAAAAAAGATCAACACCGATAGCAAGATATAAAAGAATCGACGACCAGGATGCTCGCACAGTGATGCATACAGGTGAATAGAGATCTCTAGTCCAGGGGAAGTCCCCGAAAAATATCTGACCTCCGGGACTCTCAAGGAAATTTCAGAGTGATTTTCTGGCAAGTCCCCGAAATGCATACAAAATATACGTAATCCCTAGGGAGTCCCCAACATGTCCAATCCCCGGACAGCTCCTGACAACTCCCCATTCACCGTTTGGTTTTGTAGACAGACAATATATAAATATAATGTAGTTCTATGATAAAATTTTATGAATTTTCTTCTAGTAAGTCATCATTAATGTGTCAAGCCTCGTTGATTGATATGTGTTACACCGGTATCAATCATGATACTTGGCACTTAATTACTAATTAGTTATATGAGACTAAAACAGATGGACCAGCAGATCTGGAGGGAGTCCTCACAGAATTTGAGAGAAGTCCCTGAAAAATCCCCAAGGGCTCCGTAACGGGATTCCTTGTGGATTTTCTTAGGGAGAGCCGATTAGGGATATATTTGCCGTCTGAATCGGGTCGATGTGACTGATCTTATTCTGCTATCTGTTTTATTTATGAATTCATTATTGTCAATACATTTCTATGTAGTGCTAGACTTTCTTTTAATTAGTCACATATCTAAAATAATCGTGCTCTTTTGTAGGTTTATAATTATCGTTGGCTTACCTACTGGTGCTCTTTATTTGTGATTTTTAAGTGTGCCGCTGACGAAAAGGAAAAAACGTGACTGTACTCATTCTCGACTGTTCCTCTGCAATTGAAGAATCAGATAAAAGACTCTTAACTGGGCTCTACCCCTAAAAAACCAAACCGATCTATGTTGGAATTTTCCAACAAGGAAATTACATCAGTTGATGCGATTACAGCGAATCTGGTTAGTTGTTATTGAAAGGTTGTTATTTTAAAGGGTGAGAATTATGCGCGTCAAGTCAGTGTTTTATGTTGGTAATATTGATACCTCAAAACTTGATTTGTATTTGAAGTGTT